CTAAAAAGACAGGGGAAGTCTGAGGAACTCTGGCTGACTACAGGATGCTCGGGAGAAATAACGGAAGGCCATATGGGATCTTGGAACAACAAAAAAAAGACCTTAGTGGAAACACTGGTGAGGTTTGAAAGGGATATTTATAGTTTGGTAAATGGTATTGGTAAGTTCCCAGTTCTGATAACTGTCTATGGCTATGTAAGGTATTAACATTTGGAAAGGTTATGTTAGCAACATATGGAAACTGTACTATTTTTGCAACTTTTTGGTAAGTTAAAGGTGGTTCAAAATAAAAAGTTAAAAGGAATCCATTCTTTTATTCTTGTTCACATGTCTGCACATCAGCTGTAACTGGCTGACATAGCTGCCAGCCCATAGCTGTGGCTGGGCATAGCTGGCTTTAGGCCAGTTAGTTTGGATCTGAGTCTGCTTCATGGGTATCTCATCCTTGTTGGTCTTCTCATGGTGATGGCAGAATTCCAAAAGGTGAACCAAACACATAGGCATGTTTAAAATCTGTGATGCATTTGCTAACATCCAGTTGGCCAAGGCACATCACAAGCCAAGTCCAAAGTCAAGGGGTGGAAAAGTGCACTCTCCCACTTTAATCTAATTTACTCTTACCATGTAAGAGGGACTGCATGACAAAGGGTATAAGTACAGGCAGGGGGAAGATAACTTGTGACAATAATGTAGTATACCACAGATTCCACCCTATGGGGAAAGCAGGAGTGTTGCTGGGTCTTGGCCTGTGAGAGGAAGTGACAGGGAGTCCCAATGGGAGTTAAAACTCAAGCACAATGTGGCCTTACCTACTGCATTTTTCAGACTGTAAGACACACCCCCAAATTTTGGAGGAAAATGGGGATGCATCTTATAGTCCGAATGTAGCTTACCTGGCTCATTGTTTGGGAGCGGGATCACAGGTTATTAAATATTTTACCACATTTTTAACAGATTTTTTCTTTTAAGATTTTATTTATTTATCTTTAGAGGGGAAGGGAAGGAGAGAGGGAGAGAAATATCAATGTATGGTTGCCTCTCGTGTGTCCCCTGATGGGAACTGACCTGCAACCCAGGCATGTACCCTGACTGGGAATCGAACTGTGGTTGTTTGGTTCCCAGGCCCACACTTAATCCACTGAGCTACACCAGCCAGGGCTTTACCACATTTTTTGCTTCAAAAATTTTATTTTTATTTTCTTTCTCTAAAACCTAGGTGCATCTTATGGTCTGGTGCATCTTATAGCCCTGAAAATACGGTAATTTGGACGGGCTTCCCCTTATTATAGACAGAGTTTCCTCAGACTGGGGCCTGTCTCCAGGTAGCCAGCGGGGGAAACAGACACTGTAGGCGTTGCAGGTCTCTGTGCCTTTCTAGGTGCCCATCTTATTATTATTATTATTATTATTATTATTATTATTTTTTGCCTGTTCCCTTGCCTCCTGTCCTCGCAATCCCTAACTCTTTACTTATATGTATCTCGTGACTTTTTGCCTGCTCTACTCTTTTTACTTTTTCCTCTCTGCTCCCCCCCATTGCTGCGATTCCTTCACAGAGACCCTAGAAGGATGCAGGGCAGTCATTCTCTCTGTCTAATTTGGCCTTTTTTCCAACGAGGTGGAAACATTTGAAATATTGTATTTTCTGCTGCCTCTGCCACTGCTGCTGCCATGGCTGGTTTCATGCATTTTAAATGAACGTAACCTATATTTTAAGTTAATGCTATTGTGGTTGCTCTTGCCCCCTGTGGTGATTTATGTGAAAGGAGTAATTTTGGAATTTCCCTGAATAAAATAAATTGATTCACATGAGATCCTAGTTTCTTCCTTGGCCAGCTTAGCATGGTATAACTTGTTATGTTTTGAAACTTACACAGTCATGTACTTTTTCCATTTCTAATTTTTAAAAAGATTTTATTTATTTATTTTAGAGGGGAAGGGAAGAAGAAAGAGAGGGAGAGAGAAATATCAACGTGTGGTTGCCTCTCATACACCCGCTACTGGGGACCTGACCTGGTCTGCAACCTAGGCATGTACCCTGACTAAGAATCGAACCTGCAACTTTGGTTTGCAGGCCAGTCCATTTCTAATTTTGATCAAAAGTCTAAAAATTTAATCGTTAGTAGTAGCAGTAGTATTCTGTTACTACTAAAAATAACTATTAACATGGCTGCTAATTATTATGAATCTACTTGCCGTAATGAAAATCCTTCTTGATCTTTCCACGCACTTCTAGATTAATTAATATTTTTCTCTTTCATGCTTAATTTTTCACTAAACAAAGAATTTTTGAAGGTTTACTATGTGCTAGGCCCTAGGGATAAAACGGTGAGCATTTTATATTAAATAAAAAATTTTAAAAACCCTAAACATAACTACTTATTGAGGTAAAGTGCTATTTAAAAAACAGGTCATAGTGCTGTGAAAACCTTCAGGGGGCAGCTGGAGCTGGTCTGGGGAAACAGGGGATGCTGTCAGGGAAGTGCCTCTTAGCTGGGATTGAAGGGAGGTGATGGAGGGTGAGATTGGGCTTTCCATTCTGAGCAAAGGGAGCAGGAGTGGAATGGCCCCATGGTAGGAGGGAACATGGTTTTTTCATGGAATGGAAAAAGGCCAGTGTGTCTTGAATATGGGGAGGGAGTTGTAAATAAGCCTGAAGGGGCAGGCAAAGGCTAGATGCTAAAGGGTCTCATTGGCCAGCATGAGGACTTTCACCTCTAAGAACAGTAGGAGGCCATTGAAAGGTTTGATGCAGGGGAATGCAGTCCATAGTCAGGTTTGTATTATGAAAAAAGAAAATCATTCATTATCAAGAACATGTGGGTTGGGAGGTAAGAGTGGATAGGGGAGGTCAGTTGGAAGGCTTTGGCAGTGTTCAGAGAGATGCTGATGGTTTGCACAAGAACACTGATGGGGAGATCAGAGAAAAGGGTATGAATTCAAGAGACATAGATCAGGACAAATAACCAGGTTTTGGAGGTAGAATGGGTGTGGAGCAGAGTGTGGCAAAGTAGAGAAGTATGAAGGATGACCTGCTTAGCATTCAGCCAACTGTTGTTTTGTCAGTTTGGGGTCTCTCCAGGTGAGACAATCCCTTCTTTTCACATGTTCAGAGATGAGGTTAATGCTAAAGAAGAAACTTCTTTCCCTGTGGTTATAGGAATGGGATAGATGTTGTTGTTCCTGCTAGTATGTGGCTTCATCTCCTTTCAGAGCCAACTGCCTCAGCCATTAGCTCGATTTTCCTACCCCAGCCTGAGCTTCCTGATGGCTCACCAAGCCAGCAGCCTCCACGGACCTTGCAGTTCTTCCAATCTCTTCTGTTCTTTGCCTCCTGCATGCAGCCTGTCAGTTTTGTGTCTGAGCCTTTGTATGCAGGGCTCCATCTATTTGGGATTCCCTCTTTTCCCCAGTCTGGCTCTGACTTTTTGCCTTATTTAATCCCCAACTTAACCTTATTCAGAAAGCTTCCCCAGAGAAAGTTTTCCCTCTCTATCTGAACATATTTTTTATACTTGAAGCATTTTGGATAGGTTTGAGGTTAGAAGGGGATCATTATACACATGCACTCAGGTACTTAAGTTCCCATTTATATTTTAAACACAGATACAGAAACTCCCTGCTGCAGTGGGATGGCCCAAACAGAACAGTGTGTCTTGGCGTGGTGTCTCCTTGGTTCCTTGGTTCTGTGATAGAAGCACAGTGGTTGGTGAACTTGGAATTCACTCTGGTCCCTCCAGAACTGAGAAAACCTGAGTTCATAGTACATCATTACCCTTTTATATACAGGGTTTACTAGATCATTCGGAGAGAACTTTTATAGATTGTTAACTTTTTTTTTTTTTTTAATTCTTGAATGAAGCTCAGCATCAGCAGGGCAATGCCATCCCCTGTTGGGAGAAAGCAGAGTCAAAGCTCAGGTGTCAGAGTAGCGTCTCTGCTTCTCGATTTCCAGTCCCCCGAAGAGCTCTTTCCTGAAATTCTCTATACCTGCGGCCATTAACAGTCCTCATTTGTGTTCCTAAAACCTATATTGCACAGTGGCCTGGTGTATAGCAGTTGCTTGGTTAATACCAGTTGCATGAATGAGTAAGTGTAACATCCCATTTGCAGTATGTGATCTTGTAAGTTGCTTTTTAACTGTTATTGGTAATTTTTCACAATGTGTATGAACAGCCCATTTATTCACAACACTTGTTTGCCCAGCTATTAGATCAGCTCTTCTGCTGTAGGTGGGTGTAGGTCTACAGTTTTTCTTGGTTCCAATCCCTGCCTTCTTGGCTTTTCATGTCCTCCTGCTTTTCTATCTCTTGCTTCTTTCATCTCATAAACATTAAGTCCCACAAGTTGTATGTGTCAGTTCTGGCCTAGAGGCTGAGGAAATAAAAAAGGAAGAGATATAGTCCCTGTACTCGGGGAGGAGAGAGCCTCGTCATGGGAGCCTGATTAAATTGATGAGGGTGGTGAGTGTATGCTTGCTTGAATGGCAAGCTGTCTGGGGTTCTATCAGGGCAGGGGCACAAAGGATGTAGTGGAGGAGGAGGCAGTTATGTGGCCATGTCCTGAAGGGTAAGTAGGTGTTCACCATTCAACTACTGTACATAACAGAAAGGCTCAAACATGCAGGTTTTAACTGGGAGACATTAGTCTCTGGACTAAAGTGCAGATACCCTCGCCCACCTTGCCTCATTCCTTTATTCGAAGAATTGTGATTGAGGGGGATGTGTGTGTGTGTGTGTGTGTGTGTGTGTGTGAGTGAGTGAGTGAGTCAGGGTTGGGGGAAGGGAGAGATAGAGAGAGAGAGAGTGATGGAGTGAGGTGGAGAGAGACGGAGCCAGGGTGGGTAGGAGAAGGAGATAGGGATGGATCCAGGTAACTGAATACTGCAGAGTCTGGTCTTCATGAACTAGTAAGTCCCACTGACTTGTTAGCCAGCCATTCCACCAGTGTTCTTCTGAGGACTGTATGCTTCATGAGCCTTCTTTCTTCTTGGCTTTTAGGTCAGGCTGTCCCTGCAGGATCTCATGTGCGACTGAATCTCCAGACTGGGGCAAGAGAAGTGAAACTCCAAGATGAAGACAAGTTTCGAGATACTTTGAAAGGGCCGAAAAAAGGCAAAAGGTAAAGTGTCAATCCTAGCAACTAGGAGACTGACAGCACTGATTTTGTAATACTGAGAGTAATGACAACGCAATGTTCCTTACCCAAATTTATGTGACTTTAAAAAAATTTGAAATTTAATAGACTAGGATTTGTGATAAATCTCTCGGGGTTTTATAGAAGTTCACTTCTACAGTCTTTGGAAAGAAATAGTTTGCAAAGCAAATTGATAATTTACAAAAGGCTTTAGGGAGAATGCTTAACCTGATTTAAAAATGAAGCTATTTTTCCCAGTACTTTAAGAGCACCCATTTGAATCTCAACAATTAATGCGCTGATTACAGATGAGTCATCTATTCATTAAAACAGGCCTGTTAGGCCTTCTGCTTTGCAGTAATACTTCCTTGGTGAACAATAAAATTGCATTTTAAAGTCTTTAATTCAGACTAACTTTTCCTCTTGTTAGTCCGTATTAAATTAAAACAGACTCTCTTATGGTATAAAAGTTCTCCAATGGTAAGAGGTTGCTTTATTTTTTAATAACCAGTTTAGATTCTTTGATTTTGGGCAATTCAGAGTCTGTATTTTTCTGTTATTTGCCTTGAATTACTGTTTTCTCGGCTTTCTGTTTTCTGCTTGAGAGAGAAGGAGGTTGAGCATGGGATTGCAGGGGCTGCTGGAATTATGCAGTTCAAAAGGTTGGTATCAATATCAGCCACGAACTTTCTAATGCAGGAATTAGCAAAATTTGTCCTGTGGGTCATATTAGAACTGCTGCCTGTTTTTGTATGGCCCACAAGCTAAGTTGTTTTTAACAGTTTTTAATGGTTGTTGGGGGGGGGAGGGTCTTGGCTGTTGTAGCTCAGTGGATTACATACTGGCCTACAAACCAAAAAGTTGAGGGCTTGATTCCCAGTCACGGTACATGTGTGGGTTGTGGGCCAGGTCCCCAGTAGGGGGCACACAAGAGGCAACCACACATTGATGTTTCTTTCCTTCTCTTTCTCCCTCCCTTCCCCTCTGTCTAAAGACCAATATATTAAAAACAAACAAATAAACAAGAATATTTCATGACTCATGAAAATCTTGTGAAATTCAGATTTCAGTGTCCATATAAAGTTTTATTGGAACATAACTATATACATTTATTTATTGTCTATGGCTGCTTTCTTGCTACACTGGCAGAGTTGTGTAGTTGGGATAATTACCATAAGGCTTACAAAACCTCAAGTATTATCTGGTCATTACAGATAGTTTGCTGCCCCTGCTCTAATACATGTTAAGTATTGGGAATCAATTATGGGTTGAGTGGGGTTAGTGTTACTTAGTCCTTGCATATTTATTATTTTAACAATGCTATGCACCCCAATGTTCATAGCAGCACAATTTACAATAGCCAAGAGTTGGAAGCAACCTAGGTGCCTGTCAGTAAACGAATGGATCAAAAAATTGTGGTACATATACACAATGGAATTCTATGCAGCAGAAAGAAAGAAGGAGCTCCTACCCTTTGCAACAGCATGGATGGAACTGGAAAGCATTATGCTGAGTGAAATAAGCCAGGCGGTGAAAGACAAATACCATATGATCTCACCTTTAACAGGAAGCTAAACAACAAAACAAACAAGCAAGCAAAATATAACCAGAGACACTGAAATATAGAACGGCAGACGGGGACCAGAAAGGAGAGGGGAGGGAATTTCAGGGGAAAAGGGGAAGGATTCACAGGAACAAGTACAAAGGATACATGGACAAAAATTAAGGGGGGTGGAAATAGGATGGAGGTGGGGAGCACTTGGGGGGGGTGGGCTGGGATAGGAGTAACAGACAGAAAACTACTTGAGCAATAAATTAAAAAAAGATTTAAAACTCTAGTGATGACAAATGCATTTATTTGAGATACCTGTGGAGCATTTGAATAAAGTTTGTAAACCATGAAAAAAACCACAATATTTTGTAGTTAGGTATGAGTCAGGAAGGGACCTGAGGGACCCAGTTCTTACCTGAGTCTTTTTCTTGATATACCTGACAAAAAAGACACTCAGCCTGTCCATGTGCTCCTCCAGTCAGGTGGCATTTACAACCCCACAAAGTAGCCTGTAAATATTTGGACAGTTTTTACTGCTAGAAAATTCAACTTTATATTGTGATAGATAGGATAAAGAGATACTTGTCCTTCTTACAGTGACCCCAAACTGGGGAAGACCTTTATCTTCCTACAGCTCTCCAGATAAGCCTATACCTGGGGTGGCCCAGTTGACCCGATGATTCCTTTCTTCCTGAGAAACTAAGAAAGAATCAGATCTCATTGTTGTAACCCTGTAAACTTCCCTCCATCCCCAGCACATATATATACATGTCAGTGAGTCAAAGTACTTGAGAAAGTTTTTCTCACGTCTAAGCCAAGTCTTATTTTCTAAATAAAAAGCCTGTTTTTTCTTGGTTTAAGAATACTGAATTAGGAGACTTCCGCCAAGATGGAGACATAGGTAGAGACGCTGTGCTTTCTCACACTACCAAGTTTAGAGACAAAATATTAGCAACAGAAAACACAGCCAGAACACAGAAAATTGAACATTTCAGAAGTCCGATAACAATGAATTCTTCAGCCTGACCAGTGAGAGGGGCAAAACCAGCAGCTGGTGGAGCAGGGTTGCACAGGAAAACTTGGTCAGATGGACTCAGGTGCACAGATCCCAGGCATGGGGTTGCAAAGGGCCCACCCAGTGAGCGACCAGCAGATCCGGCGAGGGTGAAGGGCGGCGGGTTGACTGTGCTGGCACATTCCTGTGCAGATAGGCCGGCGAGGGAGTGGGCAGTGAGACGAGACCAAGCAGGTCCCAGCCACGGGAGGCAGCAGAGACAGCCACCATTTCCCAGCTCTGACCCCGCCCCCACATACAGCATCACAACCCAGTGACCCCACCCTGGAGGCCCCGCCCCATCCCTAAGTCTCCGCTTCTCATACTTAATGGACGTGAACAGACCAAAATTGGCTTAAGAAGGACTCAAAGCCCCAGAGCCCATAAATCTAAGTGACGAAGAAATAGCAAAACTTTCAGATGCACAGTTCAAAACACTGGTGATCAGGATGCTCACAGAACTGGTTGATTTTAGTCACAAATTAGAGGAACATATGAAGGCTAAACTAATTGAAATGAAGGGAAATGCACAGGAAACCAATAGTGATGGAAAGGAAACTGGGACTCAAATCAAAGGAGTGGACCAGGAGGAGGATAAAAATGACCAACCAGAAAAGAATGAAGAAACAAGAATTCAAAAAAATGAGGAGAGTCTTAGGAAACTCCAGGACATCTTTAAATGCTCCAACATCCGAATTATAGGGGTACCAGAAGGGGGAAAGGAACAGCCACCAGTGGAAAGCTTATTTGAACAAGTAATAAAGGAGAATTTCCCCAATCTGGCAAAGGCAATAGACTTCCAGGAAGTCCAGGAAGTCCAGGAAGCTCAGAGAGTCCCAAAGAAGTTGGACCCAAGAAGGAACACATCAAGGCACATCATCATTACATTAGGCAAGATTAAAATGAGAGAATCCTAGAAGCAGCAAGAGATAAGGGGACAGTCACCTATAAAGGAGTTCCCATCAGACTGTCAGCTGATTTCTCAAAAGAGACCTTCCAGGCAAGAAGGGACTGGAAAGAGGTATTCCAAGTCATGAAATCCAAAGATCTACAACCAAGATTGCTCTATTCAGCAAAACTTTCATTTAGAATGGAAGGGCAGATAAAGTACTTCTCAGATAAGATCAAATTCAAGGAGTTCATCATCACCAAGCCCTTATTATATGAAATGTTAAAGGGACTTACCTAAGAAAAAGAAGATGAAAAGTATGAACAGTGAAAGTACAGCAAATGCACAGTTATTAACAACCACATCTAAAACAAAAGCAAGCTAAAAGGACAGCTAGATCAGGAGCAGAACCATAGAAATGGAGATCACATGGAGGGTTAGCAACAGGGGAGTGGGAGAAGGAGAAGGGGGGAGAAGGTACAGAAAATAAGTAGCATAGATGGTAGGTAGAAAATAGATAGGGAGAGGGCAAGAATAGTATGGGAAATATAGAATCCAAAGAACTTGAGACACATGGTCATAAACTAAAGGGGGGAAATGGTAGAGGTGGGGGGGTGCAGGGTGGAGGGGAATGAAGGGGGGGAATAGAACAACTGTAATGGCATAATCAATAAAATAAAAATTAAAAAAAATACTGAATTAGGAACTGCATTAATTTGGAGTCTTTTATTTGTTGGTTTTAATACCCTGGTAAGTTATTTCTCTAATACCTGACTGTAGATCATTAGTAGAAGTGCTTACTGTTTCGTCTGTTGTTCAGATCTTTTTAGAGTAGAAAGGAGAGCCACCTAAATGGTCTGTAGTAGACACATCAGGAGAGAAATATTTGTCCCCACTCCCAACTCTTTACTTTTCTCCTTTGGAATGTTTCTGAGTGTTTTGTCCTGGAATGGCCTCCAGGACATGCTGAATGTGTCCTCTCTCTTCTCAGCATTTATAGCAAGTGGCAAACCTGTCTGAACAGGAGCCCAAAGGCATTGACAAGGTGGTGGTGTGGGTATTCACTACTGTGAGCTCAGGAGTCTGGGCAGCTTTTGGTGGTGACTTTCTTCTCCTGGGGTCAACTTCATCCTGTGCTCCTCCAATTCTGCCTATAGTGCTGACTCTTTAGCACTGTAATGGAAATGGAGTCCAAAGAGCAGGACTAATATCCAAAATTGTTATAGTATTTTACTTATCTGCATGTTCTGTTTTTTTTTTTAATTCTTTTTTTTTTTTTTAAGATTTATTTATCTTTAGAGGGGAAGGAGAGAGGGAGAGAAATATCAATGTATGGTTGCCTCTAGTGCATCCCCTGTTGGGAACTGGCCTGCAGGGAACTGGCCTGCAACCCAAACATGTGCCCCGACTGGGAATCGAACCGCGATCCTCTGGTTCGCAGGCCCATGCTCAATCCACTGAGCTATACCAGCCAGGGTCTGTTTTAGATG